CTTGTACTCTGCTGAAATACTTGTACTGCCCAACGCCTATGCCAGTTAACCCTCTCGGTTCCTCCCTTGAGATCCCCTTCCACTTTGGGGAGGCATTGGAACACCACGAGACAAACAGTCGATTGTGAGCTCCGGTTGTCTTCGAAGCGGCTCAACAATTGGTAGCAGAGCGTGGTTGTCTTCGAAGAGGAGGAAGGGCGGCTCAAAGGGGTAAAATATACAAATTCCTGTACAAATTTATGATGATAAATGATTAAGGCCATGCCATAGCTCAAGTGGTTAGTCGCTGGCTTCCCACCTAGGCGGCCTGGGTTCGATCCCAGGGCTGGTAAAATGGGATTTGTGGTGGACAAAGTGGAGCTGTGGCAGGTTTTCTCGGAGTACATCGGTTTTTCCTGCCAATCTTCATTCCATCAAATTCTCCATCATCATAATCACCCAGGGCAGGCTACAATAGGCCAATTAGTGGCCGCTGTGCCGAGTGGACCCAGTTGGACTCCACTCCCCACTAAACGAATTAAAAGAAAAATTAAAAAATTAATAAATGTTTAGGACTGTGCATATACCACAATAAGAATGCTATAAATCCTATATTATTTCTGTGGACATTAAAGCATTATCACAAATGCAGTAAACAAACAATACTTCTGTATATTCTGCAACAGCTAATGGACGCTATAGCTATATTATGCCTGTTAAGTTCCTTAATGAAAAAATATTAGAAAATCTCAATTTTTAATAAATTATCCTGTATTATGACTGTCTAAATTGAAACACATACATTTCATTGGCTCTGCATTCTCAATATCATGCGTAGATTCCAATGAACACTGTGCGCGCAAATCCCTGCAAAAAGAAAACAACATAATGCTTATAGTCTGCATCGGATAGCACATCTGTACCTATGAAATGCCACATTTGACCAATTACAAGATAAAGTTCTCAAATTTTATTTCATTAAAAAACATGGGCCATTTTATACCTGTGAATGAAAAACAAGAATTTGTATGATGAGCTGGTTGCCTACTTTACTCTCACTACAATTTGAATGTTTGATAAAGTAGAAAGAAACCTTTAGTATGTATGTGGCATGATATACATACCAAGTTTCATGAAGACTGGTACATGCATTGAAGCAATATAAAGGTTTTACCTTAGTAATTTTAAAGGATGTAATGTTGGTATTACTGATGTAATGGATTTATGCAGTGTGCTGTTCTGACAGGCCCAGGTGGAATGATACACATACCAAGTTTCACTGAGATTGGTACAGGCATTAAAGCAATGTTAAGGTTTTGTCTCAGCAAAGTGACAAAGGCTGTAATGTTGGTATTACTGATTTGATGGATTTACGTAAGCCAAAGAGATGTGCCCAGGTCCCATGATATGCATACTAAGTTTTATGAAGATTGGTTCAGGTATCCAAAAGTTGTTAGGGGGGAATACACACACAGGAAGCTGGGTGATTTCATAAACCTACTTTTTTTTTCAAAATAAAGAAAAATGCAAATGTTTACCTCCAGGTTTCTGCATGCCTTATATTCAATTTTATTATAAAAACTTAGTATGACACATTTCCCACGAGTTATGAATGAAAGTAAACAGTTTTGTATACATCATACTGCCATGTTTGATCCAAAAATTTAACAACCAAAATTTTTGGTGTGGATTTTTTTGAGGTTATAAACAGATGGTAGAATTATTACAGGAAATTAAATGTGAAGTCTGGAAGCACTTATGGTTTATTTTAAGGTACAACTTTGACATTTACAGGGGACAAAGTTGCTCGCATCCGTGACATGCCTGAAGTCATATGTGTCCCCTGGGTAGTGCAAAATGAGCAACAAACCTGATAAAGCTTCCCAAAAGGAAAGTGCAAACTTCTTCAAGATGCAACAAAGCAAAAACTTGAGAGCTCCCTATGGCAAGCAAGAAGCAAAATGGGTTAAATGATCCCAAATGCAGCCATTGGAAACCAACTAACCAACCAACTTTGACATTTACATAGTGAGAGATTAATAAAAAATATGTGCTAAGCAAAGGGTTTCACTAACAGAAGAATAGGGAACATCCAGTGTTCCTCTGCACACCAATGACATCTACCCACAGTATTTGACAACTGCTTCAGCCTATTCAGAACAGCACAGTACCACTATGTGAAAACATTTTTGTGTGTATATGTTTTCAAAAAGATATGACATAAAAATATGGGAAAAACTGTCAAAGGCTTCTTATACTCCTATCATTTCAAGTCTACAGCTCAAGTGCAAACAAATGTAACAGTAAACAATGTAAGAATTCAAACACTGAAATGCAGGAGTTACAGTCCGAGATCAAAGGGTGAATGTATGTACTGGAGATAACAATGAAGATAATGCCTGAAATCCACTGGAGATCTCTGTAATGAAACTCTGTTATGGGAAAATTATGTTAATTTATTTCTAATTTCTCATACTATTCAAAATTACTTGGCAACTATTAATCTGCTGCATTCAGAAAGTCATACAAAGTTTAGTAATATTTTCTGTCATATTTTTTCCAGAGAATTTCAATACACAATAACAGAGTATGTAGGGACAGGTACATTCACAAACAAGCAACACACCAAATGAAAAGACAGATGAGCACATGGTATCAGTGGCTTCTCTCATGAAATAAGATTGTTAATACTCACGCAGGAAGTAGGGCAATTTTTTGTTCCAAAACCTGTTCTACTTTTAGAGCCCTTTTGGTGTGAACGTCATGTGGGCCAAAGTAGGTGTAGCAATTTAACAGCAAACACCTAACATCCTTTATAAACTCAGATATATTGCTATACTCCCCACTGGCAAACTTCTGCTGTACTGAAATATAAAGATAGCGCATTATTCACTCAAGGTTCTCAAATATTGTACAGGGAAAATTACTTTCAACATTCAGTTCATTGTATTAAACTGTCCCTCCATGTTCTCAGTAACATGTGGACACCCTGATGCCAAATGTCTAAGTTACTTTAGGTGCATTATATACACTGTCTTTTTAAGCAGTAAGCATGACAGATCAGATTTAATTTTATTGTGTTTCAATGACTTAAATGTAGAATAGATTACAATGTCACTTCAAGACACAATGGAAAATGCACTAATTTTTATTTGTTTTATATTTTCACTGACTGACCGACTGAGTGACTGCTGCTTGTCGGTGAAGTTAGTGCCAAACTTTAGTGGATAGAAGGTGCCATGTGGTCAGCACAACGAATCCCCACAGCCGTTAATTTCGGTTTTCTAGACCAGGTTCACTTGTGGACTAAAACCAAGGAGTTTCTTTTTGTTGTTTATATTTGCACATATATCACATCTGTTCTATGTTGTCTTGGTAATTTCATGCTTCGGAAAGTCAAATAGCTTCAGTGATATCAATAATAATATTAAAAATTGGTATACTATAGCACAAATTTCAGTTCTGTAAGGGAAATCCCATGGAACTAGCAAAAATCCTTAAATACTGTTATGCCATGGTGACAGGGGGCGTGGAAGTGTCCCGCTCTGTCACCAGGTTTAGTATGCTGCCACCATCTTGTTGTCAAGAAAACTCCAGTAAACTCTGGCTTTAACTCGCAATTCGCCGAAGCTTCGGGAGGTGCTGGAGTCGTCAGGGAAGAGGGTAACACTTGAGGGGAGGCTAAGTTCAATTAACATCACAGCGCATTTCTATCCTACTCTATTCACCTATGTCGCTATATACATAATATATATACACACTTTGCCGACGTTTGTCGGTTCGCATTACATTTGGTTATAACCCTATAGTACACACATTAGTTCCATCCCCTCACCCTGATATTGGTTACTCAATACCTCTATCTCTCTTTCTCAGTAAACCTAGTCCATCTAGTCTTCACTTTCTCTCCCTGGGGTTTGCACTTTAATATTATCAACATTAATGTTCATGGCTTATATGAGGTAAGTCTACTTACATGAGCTGAGGAAACAGGCGCTCGCCATCACCCTCTCGGCGAGAGCCTTTGGCTGAACTCTGTATTAATTAATGATATTAAAAAGTTTTTTGATTGATTCCTCTATAGTTTATGTACCCTCTTTTTACTGACTCGCGGGGTTCCGGGGTGTATTGGCCCGCCCATTCTGACGTGATTTTGGGTCGGTGTGGCCCACTCATTGGCTGTTTATCGAAAGGGGGTTGACTCTTTCAGGTCTACCACCCTCTCCGACTCAGCGTTTTCCTCATGCCATAGTTCTTTTATGACCCACTTCATATAGCTTCTTCCTCAATGTCAGCGTTATTACGCTGCCGTGCTAACATTCTGATTACTAAGCTATAGCCTGTTACACTTCTTTGCAAACCCAAGCTTCCTGGTACGTTTCATTATTTCTATTTCTTAATCTTAAAGTCTAGATACACTTATTCCAAATTTACCCCAAAAAACATATCTACTTGTACATAACCCTTGCGCCATTACAAATACACTAATGGGGACAAAATGCATGCTTTTCCTTAGGCTTTTACATCTGGAATTCAATGTATGGCTTTTGTTTCTTGCAATATGCTGCAGTGAATACTGAAGGTTTTCCAACACATCAGCAAACACTGCAGTTCAGGGCAAACCTCAGACAACAGAAGAAACCCCAAAAAAGATGAAAGCATACAAAACGCATTCTTGTAAAACTGTAGTGTAACAAAGGCAATACTCACTTTTCCTGAACCACATTGGTTTGGAAATAACATCATAATAATCATGCATTCCTTTCTCTCTGTGGTCTGGTTCTTCAAGGAAGAATTTGCTAATTCCAATTATACCCTGCAATATCCTGTAAGTAGTACAACACACAAATTAAAGTATAACAGAACTTATATTCTAATCAACACCCAAAGAGTGAATATGAAAGACCTGGTAGTTAGTGTAAATATAAAATTGGTCACTTTATGATAAATCTTATTTCTACCCAAGCAGCCGCACTATCATTCTCATATGGTTCATGTCATCCACAATGTTATGGAAGTGACCATTTTAAATGTGCCATTCCGGTAGCTATGATTTGCAAGTTCTATTAGAATCTTTGTGTGTATATATTACAAATTTCATGCTGCCACTTTATCCCTGATCATTCTGTGCCACCTTCAAATTCCTGTTACACATAGTTAAGGTCACCATAGTGTTATGAGTAAACCCCACAACACCAACAAATATTTCTGCAGCAGTCAATTTTCACTTAACCTGGTACACTGAGATCTCAGTTAGTAACAACTTGATGGTTGTGCCATAGCTAAAGTGGGATTTGTGGTGGACAGAGTGGAGCTGTGGTGGGTTTTCTCCGAGTGCTTCAGTTTCCCCTGGTAATTTTCATTCCACCAAATTCTCCATCATCATAATCACCCAGGGCAGGTACAACAGGACAATCAGTAGCCACCGTGCCAAGTGGACCCAGTTGGACTCCACCCCCCACTAAGTGAATTTAGTAGCAACTTAAGATTGCATGTGACATTTTTCTTAAATTGTTTCCACATGAGTCACACATGACAGTGGGTTTCCTTGCCCGTTGAAAATATTACTTCAAAATGGTGACTACTGACTCTTTCTGAAGTTTGAGACTATGTGGTACTCTTACAACACTTTTAGTTATGATCATTATTCAAAAGGTAGTACAGTAGTGTTGATGTTTCTCTAGACGTTATTTTGAAGTGTGAAGAAATGGAAAAGAACACATACTAACAGAAAATTAAATACATAGAAACTGTTAAACATATGCTTCAGACTCATACTGTAATAGAACATGACATTAAAAGAATAAAATAATCTGATTTCAGTGCTATATAAGTTTAACCAGGATTCCCTTTTGTGGTCTTTCATTCATGCTACTCAGGTATGCACTATACTTTAAAAAAGAAGTACCCTGTAACAGGCCATGGAGGCCCATAGGGTTGTGAGATGTTGAGGCTCCCACATTTCTCTAGACAACTGGCTCATAGACGGCAGTGAGGTTGTCAGCCTTACGCACCGGCCACCCTTTACCCCAAGAATATTCCTGGTACTCATTTCTGTTAGAGGCTGAGTCGACCCCAGGGCCATAATGCGGCTGGAAGGATTAGGTAAATTGAAAAAATCCGATGACCTCATATGATCAATTATAGTTTAATTAAATATATATTTACATATCTGCAGGCGTATGAATTCAGATGAGAGGAGGCTTCACAAAATTATCAAAGAATAAGAGGTTTTGGTAATATTTGCTTGTGTTTAAGGTACATACAGTTCCCATTCCACTTAACCATCTCAAAAAACATTAAGACAGAGGTTCTCAAACTTTGTAAAACCACTACCCCTACAATAATATATAAATTTACCCTCGCCCCATCACTGCTAAACAGCAAAAAGTGCAGTTATACACAATTCTGCAGTTTCACAACCTCTCTACATCTAGAGTATAGTATTTATAAAATGTTCCTATATAATTATGAATAAATTCACGAAATGCTGCAGCCTCATATTTCAAAAGTACATATATTAAAACCTGTTTACTGACTTGCCAAAACTGTACACAGACATGACTATATTTTAAATGAGTTTTGAGACATTACATCCCTCCTTTGACTTGGTCACGACCCACAATTTGAGAATCATGCTGTAATACTTATGGTAAAGGTAAAAAGATAGTTTTTCTTGTCTTTAATTAAGTAAGGACTATGCTATGAAGGCATCTACAGAAAGTGTAGATACATCTCCACACCACTCTTAACTTCAGCACTGGATGGAGGTGAGTGGCCAGCTTCATGCCCCGGCCACTTCACACCCGATGAAATCACCCCCGGTACCCAATGGATAGGAGGCAGGGTGGGTCCCAGGGCTGGTATGGAAGCTATGGAGAATAGAAAAATCTTACCTCAACAGAGAATCGAACACCATCTCTCCAGCCCATAACATGTCACTATATGGACTGAGCTATTCCAGTTCATACTTATGGGAAAAGTGTACTGAATATAAAATTTTAATTTTTCTGTGCAATTTTTGCTCAGAACATTTTAACTCTAAATAAATACATTTAGCGAGATATGCAAAAACTCATGTAGGTCTTCATATAAGGCATCCGTTATTTTCATCAAATTTTAACACAAATTGGAATGTGCTGATTAACTTTATTAATCCAATATCAAATCTGATGAAAAACTTTATGAGCGGTTCTTAAATTATTTCATGCATACAGATGGATGATAAAGGTAAACAGGTTAGGGAGCCCATTAGGATTGTGAGACACTGGGGTTCCCACATTGTCTATACCATTGGCTCACAGATAGAGGTGAGACTGTCAGCCTTACATGCCCAGATCGATGGACATAGCAAATTTAATAAGCTCTGCACAGAGCTGCAAATGTGCCTAATAAGTTGCATTCTCTAGACAGCAAGTGATAAATCAGCACCTTTCCAGCTATTGGAGAACGAATGTGATGCCTTGTTCTATCTCTGACAGATGGCAGAAAAACTGTGAGCAAAATCACGAACTGTATATGCAGTATCATTTCAGGACCACTTAGAAACTGTGCAAGATCTATGTTACTGCAAGTCATTAACTTAAGTGATTGAAACAAGACAGGAAATGTGGTGAAGCAGTTTCTGATGAATTGTCTCTAAGTAGCAAAACAAACATTTCCAGTTTTAGGCTGTTTTATGGGAAAATTATTCTGCCCTCAAAGCCTCCCTACAAGCTACCCACAGCTGTGAAACACCCCACACCAGTGGGTCACTGTAATCTGAACATTCACCTGACAATGTGCAACTTTGGATCAGCACATTGCACCTCACTTGTTAGCACAGTTGCACTTACAACATTTCAAAGAACTATGGGTCTAACCTGTATCCTTGAGAAAGTTCTGGAGTAGTACACTCCAGATCAGGAGCATCTTCTCTCTTAGACTGCCCCTTGCGGTTTCTGCCGCAACTCACTGGAGTGTATGGAGGATCGTCACACATGATTACTTTCCGACTTACATGTGTCTAACAAACTGCAGGAAAAGAAGAAATGCAGAATTACAAACAATGATAACAAGGATTTTCACAATTACTGGGTCTTTGGACTTCGTCCATCATCTGGTATTCTAAAGAATTAAACAACATGTTTTGGAAACTAGATATGTTTTCATTCTCAGGTGAGGGGGGAGACACCTACTCTGTTGGGTCCCTTAGAGAGAGTAAGAGTACATGTCTCTCTCCTCTCACCTCAGGATGGAAACAGATTCAGTTTCTGAAATGTTGTGTTCTCCAGTTTTTTAGGATACTGGACAATGACCAAAGTCCAAAAATCCAGTAATTTCAAGTTTTACACACCATCATCAGAACCCTTTAGAGCCAACAAAGATGTTATTGGTACTAATTCATCTGCTTCTCACACAGCCTCTTAAAAAAATCACAACTGGTTCGAAGAGTCCATCTCTTAAAAGCTAGTCTGAAATAAAACCTAGTCCATATAATATCTACAATAAGCAAAAGAATCATATATGCAGGCACTTCACCCATTAATCATACAACAGTGACCAGTAAAACATTACTGGTTACGAACAGAAATAAAGTACATGTATCAATGTCTATAACAGACATACAAAAAGCATTACATTACACATCATGGACGATGTAAAAGAGGCTGTGTTTGATATGAGGTTTTGTGGCCTAAATGCAGGCACTTCACCCATTAATCATACAACAGTGACCAGTAAAACATTACTGGTTACGAACAGAAATAAAGTACATGTATCAATGTCTATAACAGACATACAAAAAGCATTACATTACACATCATGGACGATGTAAAAGAGGCTGTGTTTGATATGAGGTTTTGTGGCCTAAGTTGTAGTTGTCCTTTTTGAGTCATGAAGAATATATGCTGGGGTATCCCATTAAGAGGTAAACAGAACAATCACATAAAGAAAATCCCTTTACATAGTCTGGTAGCAGCAGAATATTTCTTAGGCTGCTGCACTATGACAAGACAATCTCTAAAATTAATTTACTGTCAAGCTCCAAAGACACACTGGAAAAAGGGGGAAATTGATAAATTAAATAAAATCTTAGCATCTCTCCTTACTAAAATGCAGCAGAGAATCAGAAGAAGTAACTTAATACTGCATGGCATTTATATAATATTTAAAACTTTTATAAAAATTTCAAATGTTGTGAAATTTATTTTTATGTTAAAGGAAACTGGTTCAAGTCCCAATGACGTGGATTTTTTCAATTTACCTAATCCTTCAACCTCACTATGGTCCTGGGGCCAACTCAGCCTCTAACTGAAATGAGTACCAGGAATCTTCCTGGGGGGTAAAGGGAGGCTGTCGCATAAGGATGACAACCTTACCGCCATCTGTGAGCTGACTGTCTAGAGAAAATGTGGGAGCCTCAACGTCTCACAACCCTATGGGCCTTTCTGGCCTTGTACAGGGATAGCTTTAAGTTTTACCTTACCTTTACATTAAAGAAAGACATCTTAACATCAGAGACTTGAAGAGCTTAATTTTACTGCCATTCTTGTGTGATAAAATCACAGTAATAAAGAATAAGAACATATATATATTATATTTTGTATTTTATCTTATCTTTTTCCTATACAAATAGAATGTACACTTTCTGTATATTTAAAACAACCAAATTGCGGTAGCCTGAGTTTCATCCCAGGTCAGGTCGTGTGGGATTTGAAGTGGACAAAATGGCACTGGGTGAGTTTTCTCTAAGTACTTCTGTTTCCTCCTTCCAACTTTCATTACAACTGGTCCACATTCATTAATCATCCTACAGCCGACTTTATACTATGTATACTGACAGTACTAAAAATAACCAAATAAGGCATTTCTGTCTTACGTCAGAATACATAATACACATAAAAGTAAAAAGTAAAGCTATCCCTGTAACAGGCCGTGAAGGCCCATAGGGTTGTGAGACGTCAAGGGTCCCACATTAACTAGACAATCGGCTCAAAGATGGCGGTAAGGTGGTCAGTCTTACGCGCCGGCCGCGCTTTAATCTCCAGGAAAATTATTTAATTAATTCCTCGTTTTCATTTCTGTTAGGGGCTGAATACAAATACTAAATATATCACACTTCTGGTAACTACTGAAAATGTGTGAGAGCAGTTTACAAATCCTTGTTTCCACAAATTCTATCTGCATGTAACCTGACACTCTATAAGTATTATGTTTTTGGACATTATCCATCATCTTGTATATTTTCTAAAAACCGTCCTGTTTCTTTTTGAAAACACAACGTTTCAGAGACTAGATTCTGTCCCCATCCTCAGGTAAAACCTACTCAGTTGGGTCCAATAGATAGAGCTAGCCCCTATCTCTGGAGATATGGGCTGGCAACTTCTGAAATTCCAGCACAAATTTGTGAGATTTATGACTCTAATAGTATTATCAAGATTATGGTCTTCTGCAATGTGATACCACACAGTTTGGTAAATGAACACCTTGTTTCCATCTTCACAAATATCTCTGCAAATGAAGTTTTGCATTACTGTGTAAAATTTAACTAGTAGAGGCATACACGTATTATTTATTTTAATGTCTAACTGCTGAGAAATTCGGACAGTAATGCCCAGAGATGAAACGTGTTCATTCGATGTTTGTCATATTTCCTCTACTCATCTACCCAGTGCCAATCCAGTGGGTGACAGCGGCTTTCTCTCAAGGGATAAGGCGAATGGGGTGAGAAACCTGCATTTCACGACTATCTAGTGCTGAAGCTTGGGGAGACGACGTATGCACATGGGGTTTTAGTGGGAAAGCCAGAAGGGAACAGACCACTAGGAAGGCCTAGACATTGGTTGATATACTAAGTTATTTTACAAATAGTTGTAATGGTCAAAATCCAGTGTATTAGCAAATGATCAGAAATTATTCGTGCATGAACTACTAACATAATTCAAATAAAGTACTAGTTATAGTCTTTAAATGCAACCATCGATCTGCTGCAGACACATACTCCTCCAGAATACATGGCATGGAGACTACTAAATGGAAAACGTGTACAAGTTGCGACAAACAACCTGAGGGGCAGTGCGGTAATAAACAAAAAAGAAGTGAGCGACAAAAGTCGCTTTACTATAATGTGAAACAAGCTAAAAAATGACATTTTGGGCAGAATTCAGAGCCCCAACTTTAATTTAACTAGTTCTATACGTATCACATATGTTATCCAGCTGATTAATGGACTAATTAAACTAACCTTCTGCCAATACAACTCAAAGGTTCAACGTAGCAAACAAGGCCAGTCATTAGACACAATAACAAGACTCTGAACTACTTCACAAATTACTTGTAGTTCCCCTAAAATGTGCCTTAATAGCACTGTCCCATCTCTTTCTCGATCCTCCTTTAAATAACTGATCCATCTCTTTCTGAATCTTCATGTAATGCTTTACAAAATGTTTCTCCATCAACACTTTGTATGCATTCTGTACCTCTCTAATCTGACACCCAAATGTGCAGCTCACTGTAACTAATGAATTCAATAGTTTACCAATATTAGGTGGTATACATCAATTACGTTATCTAACATTACCCATTTACTTCATTCCGTTAAAATCTAAATATGTTCCTCAAAAAATCTGTTTTAAAGCACTAGCACTCCATGTTCTTAAATCGAAATACGTGTAGTAGGTTTTAGAAATACACAAAACTAGTAAAGTGTTACAACAGAGTATAGTGTCTTGGAAGTGATAACGTGGAAGTTATAAATTGGCATGGCCCACAGAATATACTGCTGGAGATCCTGGGCTGATACAAAACCACCGTAAAAAAATAAATTAAAAAAAAAAAAAGTAAACCTATCCCTGTAACAGGCCATGAAAGCCCTAATGGTTGAGAGACATTGAAGCTCCTACATTTTAGCTAGACACTTGATCTCATGGATGGTTGTCAGCCTTACGCACCAGCCACCCTTTACCCCCAGGAATATTTCTGGTACTCATTTCTGTTAGAGGCTGAGTCGACCCCAGGGCCACAGTGCGGCTGGAAGGATCCATTCATCCATTCATTCATTCATTCATTCAATTCCTGTAGCTCCTTCTGGAGCATAGTGCATCTGTGAAACTCCTCCATCTGGTCCTGTTGGCTGCCTGTCTTTCTATTTTGTTCCATGTTTTGCCTGCTTCTCTGGCTTCTTCATCCACCATCTTTCTGGGAGGACCATATCTACGAGCACCCGGGGGTTCTGGTCCAGTGCAGTCTTCTCAACTGCTCCAGCAAGTTTCCTCAAAGTATGACTGATCCAATTACATTTTCTTTTCTTCATCTGAACGTCAATTGGCTGTTGATCTGTGACTGTCCAGAGGTCTTCATTTGAGATAGTTTCCAGACATCTTATGTCTATGATTCGGCATAAACATCTATTAATAAAACTCTGCAGCATGTTAGTAATCTGCTCTGTGACCCTCCACGTCTCACAAGTACGAGGTTGGAACTTTAATAGTGGCAACACTGCTGTAGAGACGCCATGCAACGGAACCAAATAATGACGCTTATACCACATGCTGGTTACACACCTACCTTAACTCAGAGCAAATGGACTCTCCCTTCCCACTTCACGCGCATGCGCAGTGACGAGAAGTACAGAGAATCGTGTTAGCTGGCGGTCTAATGTAGTGTTGTCACGATGTTTTCGAAACAGGAACAACGGAGTTGGATAACGATTGAATGTGCCAGAGGCCGTACAGCACGAGTGTCATCAAGGTCTTCAAGAGGCTTGTGGGGACTCTGCATTGCCTTACAGAACAGTTTGAAGGTGGGTAAAAGCCTTCAACGAGGGACGTCAAAATGTGGCAGACACGCGTCGGCCAGGTCGTTCTAGTGTAAGTGAAGAAGTGTATGGTCATTCTGCGTTACTGGAGAGTGATCGACACCATACGATTAGTGAGCTTGCGCGAGAAACAGGATTAGCGCATTCGACTGTCCTTCACATTCTGAAGGAACGCCTGGGCTTGAGAAAAACTGCATCACGAAGGGTTCCGCATGATTTGACGGAAATGCAGAAATGGCTACGATACGACGCTGCTCGTAACCACTTGGAGCGCTATGAGCGCGAAGGAGAGGCTTCCTTACGCCATTATGACACATGGGCCAAATCGTACAAGCCACAAATGAAACGCAAATCGAACGAATGGCGTCATTACGGGTCACCACGAAAATCAAAAGTTCGTCAGAATCCCAGCAATGTGAAAGTTATGGTGATTATGGTGTACGACTGTAATGGTGTTATCCTAACGCATACCGTTCCCCGACAGCAGACCGTCAATGTGCAGTATTACTGTTCACTTTTGGAACACAACCTGCGACCAGCTTTGAGAAAGAAGAGGAGACACTTTCTGCAGAACCCACCCATCATTTTGCAGGACAATGCTCGGCCGCATGCAGCGCAAGCTGTGGCTGATTTGTTCGATCGATGGGGCTGGGAAGTGCTCTACCATCCACCATACTCCCCGGACTTAAGCCCGTGTGACTTCGACTTGATTTCTAAGATGAAGGAACCACTTCGTGGCTTCAGAAATGTTCCAGAGATTCTTCAGGCAGTAGACCGCTCCATTCTAATCATCAACACAACAGGCGCTGCTAAAGGTATCCTCCGTCTTCCACATCTCTGGCAACGGGTTGTACACAATGCTGGCGACTACACTGAAGGACAGTAAAACTTCGAAACATGCATCTCTTTTGTATCAGTTGTAAATAAATAGTTGCCACTATTAAAGTTCCAACCCTCGTTTAAAGAAGTACTGACTTCACGTTCGTATTGAAGATGACTTTAGTTTTCTTGGAAATATATTTATTTCTTCAGATTGGATATAATTGGATAAAGGCTCCACTTGCCATTTTTTATTCAATTTTTAACATCTTCATCTGCGCCCCCTTTCTTAATTACAGTACTTCCCAAATAACAGAAGGTCCCTACTTGCTCAATTTTTTATTACTAACTGTTGGTTTCTTTGTATTTTATTATTTACCCTAATTTATTTAGTATTATTTATATTAATATCTAGCCTGGCTCTCTTTGCTTCTTCTTGCAGATTTGTTAGTTTTTCTTCCATATCCTGGAAACTCTGGGCCATCAAATGTATGTATGTATGCATGTACTCGTATGTAAGGGATTGGATACAAAAACCGGCCACCGCACTGCGACCTTCAATGATCTATTGTGCTTCCTCTTGGATTAGCCCTTAATTAATCCTACACTTTTAATAAAGTGTAGGATCTTGCTTATGGGGCCGTCATAAAAGTCACTTGGTTTCATAAAATCTGACCGAAGTGACGAAATCTTAAATAAGTTATGGCCTCACAATCACACAGGAAGTATCCGGCTGATTCCTTTTCCTGTAGGCACCTTTCACAAGTTAGGTTATCTGTCAGTCCCAACTTGAAAAGGTGTCCTTTCAGGTGGCAGTGTCCGGTAAGTAATCCTACCACCCATCTTAGTTGATCTCTGTTTAATCTCAACAGATCCTTCGTTCCTCTGGCAGAGGGTCCTGATATAAAACCCTCTGCCTGTTTGAGTCTGGGCCATCAAATAGATATCGTCTGCAAAGTCTAGATCTTCGAGTCTGTCCATCATGTCCCATTGGATCCCCCNATAAAAGTCACTTGGTTTCATAAAATCTGACCGAAGTGACGAAATCTTAAATAAGCTACGGTCTCACAATCACACAGGAAGTATCCGGCTGATTCCTTTTCCTGTAGGCACCTTTCACAAGTTAGGTTATCTGTCAGTCCCAACTTGAAAAGGTGTCCTTTCAGGTGGCAGTGTCCGGTAAGTAATCCTACCACCCATCTTAGTTGATCTCTGTTTAATCTCAACAGATCCTTCGTTCCTCTGGCAGAGGGTCCTGATATAAAACCCTCTGCCTGTTTGAGTCTGGGCCATCAAACAGATATCGTCTGCAAAGTCTAGCTCTTCGAGTCTGTCCATCATGCCCCATTGTATCCCCTTCTGCCTCATACTAGTTGTTTTTCTCATCACTGTTGCCTAACCCTTCCAGCCGCACTATGGCCCTGGGGTGGCCTCAGCCTCTAACAGAAATTAGTACCAGGAATATTTCGGGTGTAAAAGGCGGCCGGCGCGTAAGGCTGACAACCTTACCGCCATCTGTGAGCAGATTGTCTAGATCTATGGGCCTCAACGACCTGTTACAGGGATACCTTTACTTTTTTTCACGCGTCTTTTATCAGTTTCGAGATCTTGGCCGGGATACCATATTTTTTTAAGACCTCCCAAATCTTGTCGGTTTAACGAGTCAAAGGCGTTTTCAAAATTAATAAATGTCAAGTATAAAGTGTTCTGCCACTCAGAACTTTGCTCTAAAATGATTCTTAAAGTATTTATCAAGTCGACACAGCTGCGTTGTTCCCGAAAGCCTGCTTGTTCCTTTCAGTGTCTCGGTTCCATTACATTTTTTTTTTGGCTGGATTAGGTAAATTGGAAAAAAAAAATCCACCTCATTGGGACTCGAACCCGCGACCTCCCGGATTGTAGCATAATGCCTCAACCAAATATGCTACCGCGTGCCCCCCGGCACCAGGAAGGTGTCAGAATGTCAACCCCTCAGGCTCTTTAAGCGCAAGAGCAAGTACAATAAAAATACAGACGGAGCGCCTAACAACGTAAGTTGCTGTGCATGCAAATGTAGCTTTCCAGATCAAGTCGAATATCTCTACTCTTTGAGAGTTAATTAAACTGAAATTAACGTATCTCAACTTCATCAAACAGAACTCACATCAAGCGCAATTCAAAAATCGATATTTATAGAGTACGGCATTCACAAAATGTCATCTGTTAACTAATGCTAATTAAGTTCGTGTGACAACCGAACATATAACGAACGTGCATGCGAGGTAGCCGTTAAAGATCAGCAAATAGCAGGTTACCTGTCTTAACGTCACGTGCCAATGCAGAATGGAGTTAGGGGCCAAGAAGACAGAAACATCAGTTAACTAGTTACCTGCCACCTGTATTAGCATGGTGTCATGGATCCGAACAAACTGCTTCTTTTCCACGGTAAGTACTTCACAATACTGGATCCACGACATTTTAAAAGGAGCCGGGATAGCGTAGTCGGTATAGCGACTGGCTAAGGTCTGGACGACCGAAGAGTTGGAGTTCGAGTCCCGGTAGTCAAGTACAGGGTGATTCATATAGAACCGGTCCGACGAAATGAGTTGCAATATAAAATATACCATACAGATATTAAAGTAAAGAAAGTTGTCTTCTGGGTTTAGGCACCGTGTATTCNGTTGAAAGTGTCCGCGTTTGCATATTCGCCGTGACTCGCTGTAGTGTTTCTTCAGTGATGTTCCTGATTTCAGCCGAAATGTTGTCCTTTAAATCCTGTAACGTACGCGGTTTGTTTGCATACACCCTGTCCTTCAGTAAACCCCAGAGAAAAAAATCCGGGCTGGTAAGGTAGGGGGATTTTGGGGGCCACATCTTTATAGAGATGACGCGATCGGGGAAGAAGCTCTCGATCAGTTCCATGGACATGTTGGACGTGTGGCACGTCGCTGAATCCTGCTGAAAATACCCCTGTATAAGTTCCACATCATCCAGCTGCTGCACGAAATCGTAAAAAATACGGCAGTATAAGGTGCTGTCCACGGTCGTGTCGAAGAAGATCGGTCCAATGATTCGTAAACCAGAAATGGCGCACCACACACCCACATTTTGTGGGTGTAGTGGTGTAGAGTCGACTCAGCACGGCCCACGGATTATTATGTAGTAATTGTGAGCGGTTATATGCATCACCTGCGGAATTATTGGGCAAATTCATCGGGCCGGTTCTATACGATTCGCCGTGTATTTTCTCTTCTCCACGTCGTCCAGACTGGCTCTGGCTGGGGTCCACCCAACCTACTATCCAATGGGTACCGAGGGCTCTTTCTGAGGGAGTAAAGCGGCCGGGGCGTGAAGCTGACCACTCACCTCCAGCTAGTGCTGAGGTCAAAAAAATGTGGATCTATATATCCACTCCTCCCACGGACAAGTGTGTCATTCCGCCCGTACTGAACATGCGCACTGATGAGTCGTAATTTGACCAACTCAGTATAAATAAGTCGACGAAAAATATAAATAATGCAGCTTATCATTCAAGTGTCTTTTTTCCAGATCCTTCTTTTAATTTGTGGTAGGAATATACATTCTGAGCACTTCGTTCTCGAACAGTTTCGACCCAAGTTCTTCCTTTATAACAGATCATCCGTACCCCGAACACACAACCCCGATACACTATAAATCTGTGATTTCGTATATTTTAATCTTCAAGTACACCCATTCTGCGCTGAACAGTACCAACCATTTCGCGAATTATCTGCTTTAACTTTCGCCACAAATACAGTTCAACTGTAATTACCAGAGCCCGGATTTTGATGACATGTCATCTTTTTTCCCTTGTATCCTATTCGATGCCCGTAAATATATAAATCCCGGATATGAGCTGCTGATTACAGAAATGTAAATTTTATATTTATTTTTTTATTTTCTTCATTTTAAAGTTTTTAGGTAATTTTTTTTCTGTTTTGGGATAATTTTTTGGACTTTTAAGGGTATTTTTTGTCATTTTAGCAATTTTAGGGAATTTTTCTTCATATGTTCACAGAAATGTGAATAATATGCAAGTAAAGTGTTCTTTCTCTTTCTCCTCCCTCTACAAAGGCAGCCTGCAGCTGCACCCAAAATACCTGCTACCACAGCATGCAATAATAAGTCGTAATAGTCCCGTCCTTTCCGTTCGTTTTGCGGAAAGTGATGACATTACATATCATAAAACATTTTATGTTAGCAGCAGGGTATAACAGCGGTCACTCACACTGCGGCCCTTGCCAAGTTCTGTGCAAAGGAGTTTGCTTAGTTACAAATATTTATAGTCGGAATCCCTCGCTTTTTATGACATATTGTTGCTCAGTAAAACTCCGTCTGGCTTCAGTTTCTCGCCCTTGACCGTACAGACAAAGATACAGTTGACGAAAGGTTCTCAGTGTGAAAAATTCTGTTCTGTGTTGCACTAGAGTGATTCATTTCATCGCGATGCCTAAAGCAAAGCCAGCTAAATCGTGTCACTTAAAGCAGATTGTAGCTGAATTTGGGGATGATATATTTTCAACCGACGGTGACATTTTGTACTGTAAGATGTGTGACACAAAATTAGCGGCAGAAAAATATTTCACGGTGCAACATATCGGCCGCAACAAGCATATACTAGCAGTTCAAATTTCGAACCAAAAGAAATTTGTGCAAATGTTACTGCAACAGTGTTCACCCGAAGGCGGAAATGAGTCATAGGATTTTTTTACAGATCTATGTGATGCTCTGGTGTCCGCAAATATTCCGTTTTGGGCTCTGAAAATTGAAAAACTGAAAAATTTTCTGGGAGTTGTGGTCGTTATATCCCGGATGAATCCACCCTCAGAAAAAACTACAATTCCAAGTGCTGTAACAATATCCTGGAAATGATTAGGACTAAAGTGCATGGGAGAAAGATTTTCGTTTCCATTGATGAGACCTATGATACGAAGGCTCGCTATGTGGCAAACGTTACCACTGGTACCTTGGAAATTGATGGACAAGGTGAAGTGTTTCTTCCTACGAGTGAGGTGCTAGAATCCATTAATCATTCCACAATTTGTAAACTCTTTGACAGGTCGATGTTTCTACTGTGGCCAGAGGGTATACACGACGTCTTGCTTTTTGTTACCGATGCGGCAACATATATTTTAAAAGCAGGCAAGTCAATAAAGTCGTTTTATACGAAATTGGTGCACGTTACTCGCCTAGCCTAGAGTGACGGAGGAAGTGAGATCAAGATTTCCTCAAGCGGATGCTCTCGTGTCGTGGACGAAGATTTTCGTCAAGTCTCCAGCTCGTAAAATGCAGTTGAAGTCTATGACTCCTGGTGTTCCACTGCCCCCGGAACCCGTCATCACAAGGTGGGGAACGTGGATTCATGCTACAATTTACTATTGCGATCATTTTCAGGTAGTGAAGAACACTGTAGACTCAGTGAAGACGGAGGATGCGAGGGCAATTGAAGCTGCTCAGGAACCGTTCTCGTGCAGCCAAATGGAAGGACAGCTGGCCTTGATAAAGGCAAATTTCAGTTTCTTGACGGAAGGAATCAAATATTTACAGGAGAAAGGGGCAACGCTAGAAGATTCGCTCGCTCTGGTGAAAAAAAAAATAACCAGTGATTTGGAGAAAGTGTCAGGGGACAGTGGTAAAATGGTATCAAGAAAAATGAAACATGTTCTAGATAAAAACTCATGTTATGAAACATTATGCAGGATTTCTTGAATTCTGACAGGAGAGACCTTCAGCATTTTCAATACTGAAAAGGAGCTTACTGCTAGTGATTTGGTACACTTCAAGTACAAGAATGTGCTGTCGGACAACAGACGCTCACTCACCATCGAGAATCTCCGCATGTTGACTGTTATCTATTGCAACTCTGAATGAGGTGGCACTTAAATATTGAAATATATACCGTATATGTACATTTTATAAGCGTTTCAATGCGGTAGAAAAAATCGTATTAAAACATTTACCTTCAAATATACTGCTTCATTTTCAACATAAAAACGATGACGAACTTAAAAGAGTAATGTTGAGTTCACAGTGTTCATAGACTAAAAATACATTTCAAAACAATTAGTAGATTTACATGACACGATACATTTTATGTCGTTTTTTAACTTTTAGATAATGTTTATGGATTTTCGATCATTTTATAGGTAATTTTTAAAATATTTTTAGGTCATAAAAATCCGGGCCCTGGTGGTTACTGTTCTCAGGTATGGCATTTCAAGTTTGATACATTTTAAAATGATGGAGGCGATACGTTCCTCCGAAACGTTGGTTCACATAGGATCTAGACGGCGCCACATCCAAGAAGATGGCATTCTTCATAGTCACCGCCGTGAAAACCTCAAATCTTACAGACTGACTAACATCTGCTGATGGCAAAAGTTAGGGAGAGACTGGCAGTGAGTAAATAAACAATGCACAGATTTCATATGGAGAGGTTCAATCTCAAAAAATTAAACGTGGTAGAGAGCGAAGAGCAATATCGGGTTGAAATCAGAAATTTGGTTCGCAGCTTTGGAAAACGTAGACGCTAATGTGGATACAAATAGAGCTTGGGAAACTATCAGAGAATATCAACATTTCAGCCAAAAAGAATCTAGATTGTTATAAATTTAAGAAGATTAAGCCATTGTTCGATGAAGGATACTCAAAATTCATTAGATGAAAGGAAATAAGCCAAAACTGCAGTTGTTACAGGATCCAAGTCAAATAAATGGGGATAATCTGAATTTAAATACATATATATTATTATTTACGTCTACTAAATTTCTTGTTAAGCCGTAAAGCAATTTCTGCCCTAACGTCACCAATATCAGCACCCGATTTCCTTCATCTTCATGCTTCTCTCGCTGAATATTCCTAAGAAAATTTAAAAATATCTTGCCATATTCCAGAGGGGAAAAAGCAAAGAAAATAATGCACCCACTACGAATTAGAGGCGAAGGAGCCGGGATAGCGCAGTCGGTATAGCGACTGGCTACGGGCTGGACGACCGAGGTGTCAGAGTTCGAGTCCCGGTAGGGTCAAGAATTTGTTCTTTTCCACGACATCCGGGTTGGTTCTGGGGTCCAACCAACCGCCTATCCAACGGGTAAGGGGGGCTCTTTTCCTGAGGGTAAAGCGGCCGGTGTGTGAAACTCAACTCAAAGCTGGTGCCGAGGTCAAGTAAATGTGGATCTATATATCCACTACCCCATACGCCTTCATGGCGTAGTGCTTAATTAGTTAAACACGAGGACAACTTTACCTTTTACGAATTAATGACGCATCAGACAAATCTTTATGCACCGACAGGCTTACACAGACATTAACAACCCACGCAAACGTACTTCAATTAATGTAACAAGTCTCGTTTCGTCTGCATCCTAAATTAAATTAAAATGCTACACACAATGTCCGCAAGTGCCTATTTATTTTCCTACCCT